TACGATGATCATCAAACCCAACCAGACACAAGGGCAGGCAAACAAGTCTACGGGAGACCGAAGCCGGAAGAACAGTAGTTAAGTTTGAGTATGGAGTGGGAGCCTTATCTTGATTGAGGTGATGGTTATGAGGGTACATACATAAGTTAACGTTCACGGAGCTGTCCACTTAAGATCTGTGCACTTTATATGCTATACTGCATTAAAATTAGAAAAAAAATTGTTTATTTATTTTTGAGAGACAGAGAGAGAGAGAGAGAGAGAGACAGACAGAGTGTGAGCAGGGGAGGAGCAGACAGAGAGAGAGAGAGAGAGAGTCACAGAATCCCAACCAGGCTCCAGGCTTGGAGTCGTCAACACAGAGCCCAAGGCAGGGCTCGAACTCACGAACTGTGAGATCACGACCTGAGCCAAAGTCGGACACTTAACCGAGTGAATCACCCAGGCGCCCCTAAAATTTTTAAAGAATATGATCGCTACCTACATGTACCCTTAGTGCTCCATTTGGACTGGTCTCTTTGGCCACGGAACGTCAATGGTCTCCACGGCAGAAAGCAGTAGGAGCAGTTGGAGAGGGAACAGGGAAGGAGAGGAGAAAGCAATCACATGGGCCTCCTAGCAAAAAATAACCATCTTACAAAGCCTGTATAGACATGCTAAATAAGTTCACCTACCGACCCAGTAGATACAATGATTAAAAGAGATTTACACACATGGCTACTGAAATGGCCTTTTTGTAAAGTCACCCTCTGTCCATGTTCATAGCAATTGTTTGTACCTCCGAGATGTAAAGCTGCTCATTTTCCCACAGGGCCAGGATTTCCCTTTTCCTACAGCCCTTTCATCCCCAAATGTTCCCTTCTCTGCCCCCGTCAAGGATTTCTCTGATGTTAATTACAATCCATAAACATTAGTCAACACATGGGTGTGTTAAGAAGGGGGGAGTAAAGTATCAGTGTAGGGAAACACTCACGTGTGCGGTTGTACCTTTGGAAAGCAAGAGAAAGTACAGTCGCTGCAGTCCGTGAAGACACCACAGATGGCCATGGGCGGAATGGCATTCGTCTGAATTGTGTGACACCACTGTCCCCCTTAATCGTTCACACAGAAGAACAACAATGTTTCTCATCTTTTTATATCCCACTTACTTTCTAGGAAGACGAATTCTTCTCTTTATGAAGACTGTGGAAGAATTTACATAATTACGTGGATTACTGTAGCTTATTTTCGGCAAGTTTTCAATTCCACACCCAAGGATGCATACATACCCCTTGAGACAGAAGTACACCTGCTATCCGTTAAAACGCCAGTCTTTCAAAAATTTTTCTAAGTATGTTCGAATGTGCCTTCCTCTTCTTCTTTTTAAAAATTCATGCGGTAAAGTTCTTAGGGATATTTTTCAAAACTTCAGTACTAAAGCGTTACCTTTACATGTAATGTGGCACCCTCTGTATTTCCCTTCTTACTCATCAGGAGAATGAGAATTATTGTACACTTAATCTCTCCTTTTACCGGTGTTTATAACTTCAGCAAATAGGCTAGCACTACAGCGCCTAAAATAAACTGTTATGAATGATCTAAGGTCTACACAACCAGAAGGTCTTTCATGAGGATAATTGTCACATATATTTCAACACGACAGTGCACATTTTGCGTGACCAGCCCCATAGAAAGTCAAAAATAAAACCGTCGTTAAGAATGTCATGTTCGTCAACCTTCCTGGATTTTAAACAAAGGAAACAAGAGAAACAACGATTTCCCCATCTACCTACAAGCAGGAAAACAAAGCTATAGCATTGGGTTCATATTTAACTTACATTTCCTTGTCTTTTTTTATTTAAAAAAAACTTTTTTTTTTTTTTTAACGTTTATTTATTTTTGAGACAGAGAGAGACATAGCATGAACGGGGGAGGGTCAGAGAGAGAGGGAGACACAGAATCTGAAGCAGGCTCCAGGCTCTGAGCTGTCAGCACAGAGCCCTATGTGGGGCTCGAACCCATAAAACCTGGTATCATGACCTGAGCCGAAGTTGGACGCTTAACTGGCTGAGCCATCCAGGTGCCCCAAACTTACATTTTAAATGTAGCCCTTTACATAGTTTTTTTAAGAAATCAGTAGCAATATAAAAAAATGAAAAAGCAGCTTTTCACAGGTAAATGAATCTGCAACTCTAACACAAACAAGCATGTTTGAAATGAACTCAGGAGGCTTGATTTTTTGTTCCAGTGGCTCGTTGACTTATTATTTTATAGAGGTTTGGAAGAATTAATGAATTTCAAAATAGCTAATTTAACTCAGTCAGCCACAGGATCTGGCATAGTAGTTAGAAGAAATGGGTCTTTTAAAATTTATTTCCTCTACTACTTTCCTTTTCTTATTCTTGCCTCTCCATTAGCCATATACAGTTACAAAATATTTGAATCAGGGTCTATGATGGTATGAAAACGACATGCAATAAAATCAATAAGGGAAAAAGGAAGGGGTGATTTCGCCTTATCTCCAAAATTAATATTATAAAGAGAAATTAATGTATTTATATATTGGGGGCTTTTTTGGATCTACTTCTACTCTACTCCTAATACTAAGAAAGAGTTCATATGAAGTATTTTCATATAAAATATTTCTTAGTTTACTTCTGATGTGACTAAGTGAAAGTGTTGTGAATTTTAGAATACAAGTCACTGGGCGGTGACGGTTTGCACACAGTGTAACCACTGCAAACTTAGCATCAGAGGCTGTCTTTCTGGAATTCATAAGTAGGGTGGGGATGAAGGTATTTGACATGGGGCACCACCCCGAGTGCTTTCAGGTCTTTTCAAAAGCCCATTCTAGATTATTCAGAGACCCTCATTGCGATGGATCAGCTGCTCCTTCCTTTCTCTTCTTACTCTGCCTTTTTACCCATTTCATTTTCTGTCAAGTCCTTCTGAAGAAGAGGCAATGAAAATAAACGAAAATGAAACCCCTCAATTTCAACATCCAGGAGTCAATGGCATCTTCAATCATTACACTGACCATTTTTCTGGATCGTTTTCCATTAGCAACAAAGTCTGTTTAGTTTATACTCTGCAAGTAGTATTTTCTACTAGGATGCACAGTTAAAAAAAAAATGACCTGAAGAGCTAACTTGGACATTTCCAAATCTATTTAACATAACTATAGATACAAACGGACATTTTCTTGGTTATTATAATTCTGTGCCTGAGGAAATCACATTTTGTGAATTAGCTATATGGTGGTAATAATTCATGTAAGATGTCCCATCATTACCAGGAATGACTGAAAGCTAGGAGCACAAAAGTTTCATTGACTCGTGAGAATTATATAGCCATTTGGGCCGCTAAAAAGTCTAAAAAGTCATTTCCAATAACCTTCACGGACAAAAATGTGAACAGAGTGATACAGTATTTTGAAAATATTTTAATATTTGCCATTTTTTGCCTGTGCTATTAATATGTACATTGATTTAGTAATAAATATACTACTATTACATAGAGTGCAATATTTTTAGTATTCGTAACTGTTTGAAATTAATGCTGCTATTATCTCAAGAAAGGAATAAATAAATATCATGCCCAAATTCCAAACCAATGCTCAAGAGATTATCACTAACAAAAATTATAAAATAAACATGTTGGGCATTATCTTTTTAAGCATGATTCTTGTAAACACAGCCAAGATCACTTTTCTCAGTCCTGACATTTCCCGTGATGGCTTTAAAAGAAGATACAACGTACAAATCCTACCTTTTTTTTTTTCTTTTTGCATAGGGAATGAATTCATTGTATTTGAAAAGGAAGCAATCTTTTGGTGAAAGGTCTCCATCACATAGTACTTGCTTTCTGTAGGAATTCAGAACTTTGGAGCAACAAAAGGGCTCTGCGGAAGTTTATAAAATATGCTCTCTGCATTTAAAATTTAACAGAAAAATTTCAAGACAAGTCAGAGTCATGATTCTAAAATAGTATGTACATAATATCCGACTCCGGGAGGGCATGCCTCGCTGCAGCACAACGCAGTACACAGATGTGAAGCACAGTGTTTCATAGAATTTTCCTTTAGATTTTCTTCGCATCGGTGCCTAAGTGGATCCTGATTATGCCCATTCCGCTTGTCGCAGACAAGGTAGAAGGGGGACGTGAGGACAAATTTAAAGCGGATGATGGAAAAACGGGCAAAAATGCAGCACATGTGCTTTAAACGGTGCACTTTATAAAATAGTTTGCTTTATCCATAGTCTTTTACAAAGTGCAGTATTACTTAAAACAGAGACGTGTACCTCAATATTCGGCAATAACCATTAAAACAACCTGCCAGGAAAGAGCAGTGCGAAATTAAAACCGTACGTAGCTTAGCATGCATGTCAGACGGGTCCCCAATACAGAGTATGGGACCTTACGTTCCTGTATCTTTTTTTTTTTTCTTTTACTTTTTAGAAAAGGACTCATAACAACAGGTTACCATCGTAGGCAACCATAAAACAAAGACAATAAGTTAAAACCCTCTCTCAGGAAATGAGCGAACGCCACGCATCAAATTCACTACACAATCTCTGCACTGCTCCGCGGGGGCCCATCTCTTAAAAGGCCACACGGTCCCCGAGGCAAAGCAAAAGGCATCATCATCACCGTACGTGTGACTCCTGCGGGCGGACGTCTGGAACACCCGAGACTCGTTTTGTAAGCAGCTCGAACCTGACCCGCCCCTAAGTAGGTTTACAGACACCCCTGCTCTTTCAGGAACAGTCCTGTTGGCGTCACGCCAGGTCACTCAACAGTAAAACGTGTGCTCTGTTCACAGTAACATTCTCCGTGCAGTGCTTTTTGGACACGGGCAACCAGTTGGGTTTGCCTGAAAACAACTCCCTAAGAGGCAGGTTCCGCGAAGACCAACGGGGCACGTTTTTAAAAGCGCACGACGTCACCTCAGGCACAGGCTGAGGGCACGCGGGTGCGATGGGTCGTCGGCGGCGACAGTCCTGCCCTCCGCCCGCCCGCGCTCAGTCCGAGAAGTGGGAGAGGGTGTCCGGGTTGCTGCCGTCGGCGGGGTGGCCGGGCTGCAGTGTCTTCGTCGGGGTGGTCTTCCCGTGGGACTGGGAGGAGGACGAGTGGGAGCTTTCGCTCGAGCTGCTGCGCGTCTCTGTGCTGGTGCTGGTTTTCTTCATTTTCCTTCTCTTGGCCAGAGGGGCCTTATCGACATTCTGCAGGCAAAACCCCTCTCTCTTGTATTTGTTAAAGGCCTAGGGGAGAAAGAGAGGGAGCCTCTGTGAAGGCAAAGGGGCTGACGCTTTCCGGCACGTCTGACTTCTAGAAGAAGACAACTTTCGGTTGGCAACCACGGCTCCAAGTTGTTTTGGGAACAAAGTCCTTAAAACCGGTACTTGCCAACCTCCTGGCAGGACGCACAAGCTCAGGGGAAGAGTCCCCAGGGCTCCGCGTAAATCAAACCAGCCAGGCTGCTCAGGAGTCCTGATTCTTCCTCAATCTTTTGACGAGGTCAGCGCTACCTCTCAGTAAAAAACACTAACCACCCCCCCTCCAACCCCCATTACTTTTACTGGTCCTGCGTCTGAGATTTAAATCCAACCACAGGGGCGCCTGGGTGGCTCAGGTGGTTAAGCATCGGCTTAGGTCATGATCTTACGGTTGGTGGGTCCGAGCCCCGCATGGGGCTCTGTACTGACAGTGATGAGCCTGCTTGGGATTCTCTCTCATTCTCTCTCTCTCTCTCCCCCTCCCATGTCTGTCTCTCTCTCTCTCAAAATAGATAAATAAATAAACTTATAAGAATAAAATAAAATAGAATAGAATAAAATAAAATAAAATAAAATAAAATAAAATAAAATAAAATAAAATAAATTCTGACCACAAAACCCCAATACAGAGCAGACCTGATCCATTACGGGCCCCTGCTCTCCACTTCCAAGTCGGGGTAATCCGGGTGGATCTTGGACACTTCATCTACACAGAAAGGCTCGGCGACACATGCCTCGGCCTGGTTACTCCTCCCAGCAGCCTGTCCCTACTTTTCTTGGTCTCCAGCTTGGGTGTCACTGGGGCTACTACTGATCACTTTGCCTCAAATACCACCGGGAAGATGGGCGACCATCTGCTACAACCTTCGCAGTCACTCCCTGCGCACCTCAATGGTATCCTCGTTCGTTAATTTTTGATCCACGTCTGCCGCTGAAGAAGAAACTGTCCTTTTTCCTCTCTCAAGATGATCCCTTCAGAGGTAATTGTACTTCTCCGGAACTCACCTATTCCTTATGCGATTATCTTAAAGCATTAGCAGCTGCTTGGTACAAATGCGTGTACTCTGACGACACGTCCCCCGCAGCCTCGAGGATATGTGATGTGTCAATGGTTGTTAAGTGAACAGACTTTCACATGTGCCTTCGCTCCTAATATTTATTTATGGCTTTCAAAGAAAATGATTCAGCTTATTTGAGAGAGAAAAATTCCAATATGAAGCCTATTGTTTTCATGATCTCCCGAAAACTTTGCACTACTCAAATGTCACACGACTGCCCCATCTCACAAGCTCATTCTAAATGTCATATGAGTGCTTGTGGGTCAGCAGTGACTCTGATGCCCCACACACTTTGTGTTAATCCATGTGTTTATATCACGAAGGGATTTATAAGAACATACCTAAACTTAAAAAAAAAACAACCGCATTATTTTCAATGCACCACTAAGCATGTGTCTCTGAGGTCATGATTCAAACCCGCCCTATGTGTGCAGAGCCCAGGGCCTTACGTGGAAGGTGGCTTTCACACAGGTTTGCACAGCAGCCCCTGAAGATCCTAGAATGTCTGGAGTCATCAGAGGATTTGAGGACAGCTGACTGCCATCTTGAAGCCATTCATTGTGTCTCAAGCCTGACATTTTAAGCCTTTTATTTGGATCGACTGTGAGAAGTCCTATGGGAATAATTGAGATATTTTTATTTTATGATTTGTTGCTTCAGACATAAATCTCAATGAGGTTCACATGACACAATGGTTTCTATAAGGCTTCAAACTCCTACTAAGGTAATTACATTTTCATATACATTTAAATCTCCTAGTAAATGCTGGGTGCTAATTGATGATAAGGCCTACAATAGCCTATGTCTGCTGTAAGCTAACTGGCTTCTTGATCAGGAGAAAATTAGCACCCAACATAAAGACGCCCACTGGCGAATGGGAAGCTCCAAGGGAACAAAGAGCACCTAGATGTACTTCATTTGTGTACAAGCAATTCTTTTTTTAATGTTTATTTATTTATTTTGAGAGAGAGGGAGCGTGCACGTGTGCGCTCATGAAGGGGGGAGGGGCAAAAAGAGAGGAAGAGAGAGAATCCCAAGCAGGTTCTGCACTGTCAGCTCAGAGCCTGACGTGGGGCTCCATGGCGTGAACTGTGAGATCATGACCTGAGCCCAAATCAAGAGTCGGACGCTTCACTGGCTGAGCCGCCCAGGCGCCCCTTGTGTACAAACATCTTGTACAAGTCAGTAAGTGCCGTAAGGCAGGGGAGATATGGAGATGGAGACACAAAGAGGAGCTCTGAGTTGATGTACAGACAAAATCAACTAGGACAGCATCAGGCGACGAGCGCAATAGCAAAATCCCCAGGCACAGTGTGTTGGCCGCCCAAGGGAAGGGCTCTGACCAGAGAGTGGGAGCACCCCGGAAGGCTTCCAGAAGATGAGTCCTGGGGGGATGGGTACAGGTGGGCTCAACGAAGAGGGATGCTCCAGGAATTACAAAGCGCCAGAGTAAAGTCACACAGGAATCTGAGGGCCGGCACATTTGAAGAATTCAAAGGCAGAGTAATGGTAACAGGAAGCATAGGCAGGCGGGGCCAGGTCACCAAGGACTTTGAATCTCAAATGCTCCCATATAGGAGTCTGACCTGAAGCTAACAGGGACTCTCTGAAGGATTTTTAACAGAAGAGAGGCATGAGCACGTCTGGATACGAGGAAGGTCGCTCTGCTGGTCGATAACGGACAGGTAAAGTCAGAGGAAGTGAGACAGGCTGAAAGGATGGCGTGGGGTCTCAGGAGAGGAAGGATGGCAAGACCGGAGGGCGGCCATGTGAACCGCAGGAGGTGGTGAGGAGAGACACTGAACCTGCAGCACTGAGTGGCTGCGAAAGGTAAGGAAGGTGCGGGACGTACGGTGATGTCCAGGTTTCTGTCTTGGTAATTTGGCTGCTTGGCAGTGCAAGAGGGGGACGGGAAGAGGCATATTTGGGGGGAAAGGACAGTAAAATAGTGTCAGTTCATTTTGGAGGTGTTAGATTGAGACACTGCGGACCCTGTGCATGTGGGTAAGACTACTAAGGGACAGAGTTCTGATAAGAAAAAAAATAAGGCCGGGGCGCCTGGCTGGCTCAGTCAGTTAAGTGCTGGACTTCTGCCCAGGTCATGATCTCGTGGTTCGTGAGTTCTGGCCCTAAGTCCGGCTCTGTAGTGACAGCTCAGAACCTGGAGCTCAGAACCTGCTTCGGATTCTGGTGTCTCCCTCTTTCGCTGCCCCTCCCTGGCTCACGCTCTGTCTCTCTCTCAAAAATAAATATTTTAAAAAATTAAAAAAAAAAAAGGTTCAGTAGACTAACCTGGAAACCTTTTAGAACACATGTAAGCTCTATGAGTAATTAACAAATAAATATATGCACAACGAGTATGATTCCACTTTAACCACTACACATCATACAAAATGTGAAATTGCATCAGATTCTTACCTTGGATCAAATCTTTAGCTTCTTGGGATACATTCTTCCAGGCTTCTCCTTCAAAGGAGAAGTCTCCCTTTTTAATTTTCTTCATGATCTCCACTGCACTGGTACATGTCAAACTTTTGTCGTGAGATTGGAATGGGACTTGCCCTGACAACATTGTATACTATCAAGAAAAAAAGGGAACAGAACAGAATGTCTGACAAAGTCATTGTCAAAGCCACTCCAGTAATCTCACTACTAACTTCATCAGCATAGTTTACCAAATACAATAACTAGCCTTACTGGATTTAGAAGATTATGTAGATTTCTATCACTGAAGCAACAAACACATTTCAAAGCCTTGTAAATAAAGTGAGCCGGCTTATCATGATACCAAGATTTAAAGAGCAAGAAAAACAAAACAAGGATAATCTGGCTGCTTCTGAAAAAATAGTATTCGTGTTAACAGAGAATTGAGAGGGAGCAGAATGCCTCAACAGCTATTTTTTAATGCAATTGTTTTTAGTTTATGCATTTATTTTGAGAGAAAGAGAGAGAGAGAGAGAATAAGCAGAGGAGGGCAGAAAGAGAGGCAGAGAGAGATCCCAAGCAGGCTCTATGCTCAGTGCTGAGCCCAAAGCAGGGCTCGATCTCATGACTGTGAGAGCATGACTTCATGACCCTTAACCTACTGAATCACCCAGGTACCCCAATAGCTATTTTTTTCTTCAATTCCACACATCTTTTCCCTAGGACATTTTCTTTCTTTCTTTCTTTCTCTCTTTCTTTCTTTCTTTCTTTCTTTCTTTCTTTCTTTCTTTCTTTCTTTTCTTTCTTTCTTTCTTCACTTTTAATGTTTTTATTTATTTTTGAGAGAGAGAGAGAGAGAGAGAGAGAGAGAGAGAGAGTCAATGGGGGAGGGGCAGAGACAAAGGGGAAACACAGAATCTGAAGCAGGCTCCAGGCTCTGAGCTGTCAGCACAGAACTCAACGAGGGGCTCAAACTCATGCTGTGAGATCATGACCTGAGCCAAAGTCAGATGCTTAACTTACTGAGCCACCCAGGTGCCCCGGAAGATCCTTGTTCTAAGGAGGGAAATGCTAGGACACCTGAAGAACAATGCCAGAACAATCTAAGAAAACCAGAAACCTCCCTAAATCTTCTTTCCTTCATCCTTCCTGCACACCGGCAACATTCACACAGCCGACATCTTTTCCCGAAGTTTCCCTCTTCAGACTCCTACACTGGCTTCCCGACATTCACCGGGCACCTTTCAAGCTCCAGCCTCGTCTTCCCTCCTGGGCTCAGCCTCTGCAGTAGCTGTATTCCCACCCCCTATTCTGCACCGACAGTTCCTAGGCCTCCTGGACTGCGCACAAGCTACTCGGTCCCCTCAGAAGGCCATTTTCTTTTCTGAGCTGGCAGAGGCCCACCCACCCTTCGGTGTAACTTTCCAGGATGTGTAACGAGGGCCTCCGCCATCTGTCATAGTTACTCCCGAGAGAAGATAGGCGGTAGGAGGGGAAAATGAGCTTTAGCGTCAGACAGACCTGGTTTCCAACAACTGCTTTTTTGCTTACTAGCTTCTGTTTTCTAGCTTTTTAGTTTACTAGCTTGGGTATGTTAGTTAACCTCTCTTAGACTTTTTCTTCATCTACACAACAAATGTAACAGGATCACACAACCCATTGCACGTGATAACAGCGGGAGCCTGCTCACTAATATACCAGGCTTCACTCCGTTCTTCCTCCTCTTTCTCTGGCTGGAAGGCAGCAGGGACCCCATTTTCTCAATGGAAGGTGGGGAATCAGAACAGTGAGTCAGGCGACTTTACAGCCCCTTCCTAAAGGTCTGCTTTCTAGATCACTGGAGGCTCCAACACTTCAGCATGGATTCCCCAGAGAGCAGAGTCTAAAGCAGAAGTGAAGACACAATTACATTCCTGAGCGGGAAGAATTGAGAACAGGGAACAGTGTACACACCAAAGGAACTGCAGGGATCAGCTGCCATGCTGAATGCGGTACAAGTCAATATGGTGCTGGCATCGATAAGCACCTATTGATCTGGTCAACAGATCGTTCTTGATCTCTATCAATAGGAAGGATCAAAGCAGTAGGTCTTCACATACCAAGGATAGCATTCACTGTCTTGCCCAAGAGCTGTGTGACCTCTCCTGCTCTGTTATAATATAGTCTGTTAGGACCTTGATCATCTCGACATTCTCAAGAATCCCATGCTGGCTCTCTATACTGATGTCTTCATTAAGTGAGACCTGGTGAGCAGGAACTAGCAGGTATCCCAAATGCCTTATAAGCACACAAATGTCAAAGGGACGGAGATGAACTCCATAAACGTTCAGGGGACTATCACATTGGTAAAGACTTTAGAGCTCCAATGGTTAGGGGCATAGAGACATTTCCCCTGAAAGATAAATTGCTGTACCTTGTCCCACTAAGAAAGAGGTGCAGGACTCAGTGGGCTTCCTTGGATTTTGGCGACAGCGTACATTGCACTTGAGAATCCTGCTCCAATCCATTTATCAAGTGACCTGGAAGGCTACCAGTTCCAAGTGGGGCCCAGAGGCAAGAGGGCTCTGCGGCAGGTCCTAGCTGAAACACAAGCCGTCCTGCTACCTAGGCCATAGGATTTGGTTGACTCGACTGTGTTAGAGGTATCTGCGAAAGGGAAGAATGCTGTGTGGAGTCTCTGGCAACTGCAACAGAGGAGTTGTAGAGCAGACCTGAAGGATTCTGTGTGGGGTCATGCCTTCCATGGCAGAGAACTACTCTCTGAAAAGCATCTCCTGGACGCTACTGGTTCCTAGTAGACTATGAATGCCTATAGAAGGGATACCAAAAGCAGTGCATCTTATACTATGATCAGCACTGATTCACAAAGCCCGAGCAGCGATCCAATGTACTGTGGACACAGCACACTTAGAATCAATCCTAGGAAGTCCAGAAGGCATGAGCAAGTTACATTCACAGGTGCGTGCCACCTATCTCTGTTGCACCAGCACTTCTTCCTCAGTTCAAGCCAATGGCCTCATTGAGGAGGGGTTCTCTAGGATTTCCCTCCTCTATGGAGGAAGAAAGGAAATTGAGACTGCTCGATAGGTGGCCTGCTAGAGCGTGAAAAACTCAGTGAAGGCAGCTGCTCAGGACAATACCCCGTGGGGTTGGGGCTCTGTCCCTGAGGATGGTGTTGAACCACTGGCTGATCCATTGGTGCTGGATCCCCCATATCTGATTCTGTGAGTGGAGGATTATGTTTTAAATGGAATTAGCTGTCACCCCACAGGTATGTTAAATGTACCCGTGGGGTAGCATACGATCCTAGCCCATGTAAATACTGTGTGTTATGGACTGAATGTTTGTCTGCCTCCAGAATTAATACGTTGAAGACCCAACCCCCAACGCACCTGTATTTAGAGACAGGGCCTTTATGGGGGTAATTAAAGTTAAATGAGGTCATATGGGCGGGGTCCTGATCCAATAGGATTAGTGTCCTTATAAAAAGAAACACCAGAGAGCTTGCTCATGCTCTCTCTCTAAGCATACACACTGAGGAGAGGCCATGTGAGGATACAGAGAGCAGGTGGCTGTTTACGACTCAAGGACAAAATCCTCACCAGACACCAGCACTACTGGCATCTTGGTATTGGAATTCCCAGCATCCAGTCTGTGAGAAAATATATTTCTGTTGCTTAAGCCACCTAATCAGTGGTATTTTGTTATGGCAGCACCAAGCTAAGACACCGTGTAAGCTCTATTTTAATTAAAGTCCCGTATGTTTGTTTAAAAATTTTTTTTAATATTTATTTTTGAGAGAGAGAGATTGTGTGTGTGTGTGTGTGTGTGTGTGTGTGTGTGTGTGTGTGAGCAGGGGAGGGGCAGAGAGAGAGGGAGACACAGAATCCAGGCTCCAGGCTCTGAGCTGTCAGCACAGAGCCCGACGTGGGGCTCGAGCCCACAAACCACGAGATCATGACCTGAGTCGACGTCAGATGCTTAACTGACAGAGCCACCCAGGCATCCCAAAGTCCTGTAGGTTTCTGACAGGGATTGCATATCTATGAGGTAGACGGGGGTTGTAATCATGCCATATGATACTACATGATGCAGCTTCCTGGAGTATTTGTTTTACTCAATGGGGGTAATATAAATTATTTTCAAACTATAATAGCTACATTCATGTTTATTAGATACAACATACAAAAAGGCCATAGATTTCCTTTCTTTTTTTTTTTAAGATTTTATTTTGTTATTTTTTTAAAGATCTTATTTTTAAGTAATCTCTACACCCAGTGGGGCTCAAACCCACAATCCTGAGATTAAGAGTCACATGCTCTTCTGACTGAGCCAGCCAGGCACCCCAAGGGCCACAGATTTCTAAGGCAAATCAGGAGACTCCAAATAAACTTTGTGCTTGTTATGGAATAACTGAGGCTTTGTATCTAGATCCTCTGAAGATATGCATTTATTCATGTAGAAAAGTTCACAAAGCACTCTGGGTTGTTTTGTTTTTTTTTTTTCACAGTTTAAGGTGTATACTAACATTCTGCATACGTATTTCATTGTGTATCTCTAAACGGCAAAGATCTTTTAAAAACCACAACAACACCATTATCACATCTAAAAAAAATTAGCAGTAATTCCTTTATATCATTCAGTACCCAATCAATATCCAAATTTCTCCATCTGTGTTATATACGTCATATGTATCTATAATAATTATATCTGGATGACTTAGAGTTTGAACCTAATAAATAGCATTAAAATTAGAATTTGCTTGAATCAGAATTGAAGTAAGTGTAAATATTGTTTCCTAAGTGTCTTTTAATCTGTAGGGTCTCAGGCTCTTTTCTTTTTTCTGGGAGAAACTGGGTTGTTTGTCCTGTAGAATGGCCCATAGTTTGGATATTCTGACCGTACTCCTGTGGCATCATGTAAGCTGTTCTTTGCCCCTTGCTTGTCTTAGAAACTTGACAAGTAGATCTAGAGAGAAGCATGGCTTTCATCCGTGCTGTGACACACAGCTATTTCCATAGATGTGGCATTCGGAAGCTCTAAAACACTTGTCCACATCTCTAAGACTTTTTTGTAAAACTTTAAAAAGCATGATGATTAAAACTGACCTGTATTTAAAGTAAAGGCTCTTTCACAAGGGGTACTTTTATATTATTACTAAAATGGGAAAGCTCCCCTTTATTTAGACTAATTTTTTCGGAGAATGTTAATGAAAATGTAATCAGTTTAAGCCCTTAAACAAAACTCTCAAATCTATAGCAGTTCGTTGTTTATTTTTATTGAAAAAACCTTATTCATAAATATTTTCATTTGAAAATTATAAATGATGAGTTAAAATTGCTGAAATAAAAACCATATAAAGCTTAAAAATAAAAGAGGAACCATCCTGCAGGGACAACTGGTTAGCCACTGTGGGAGAATCGACACCAAAATAAATCCCAGATGGAGTGCAGATTTAAGTATAAAAATAAAATATAATTCTGGAGGGAAATTTGGGAGAATATTTTTATAATCTTGGGTTGGGGTAGGGGTGTGTGACAATCTGACATCAAAACCACATGTCACAGGGGCGCCTGGGTGGCTCAGTCAGTTAAGCGTCCTACTTCGGGCCAGGTCATGATCTTGAGGTCTGTGAGTTCAAGCCCAGCATCGGGCTCTGTGCTGACAGCTCAGAGCCTGGAGCCTGCTTCAGATTCTGTGTCTCCCTCTCTCCCTGCCCCTCCCCTGCTCATGCTCTGTCTCTGTCTCTCTCAAAAATAAATAAACATTAAAAAAAATTTTTAAAAACACGTCATAAAGGAAAAGACTGATGTCTTACTACAGAGAAATAAAAAAATTCTCCATTTAAACCCTGAAACAGAAGTGAAAATCCCATGATACTATAAACAAAGTTTTCAAATGACAAAATCAGAATAAAAACATCTCCACTATCAATGGCAGACAAAGGATTAAAGTCCTTCACAGAGCTTTAAAATGGGCAAAGCTCATAAACAGCAATTCATAAAAAAGAAAATACAAGTGTCCAAATACATGAAAAGATGCTCAAAACTGAATATTCATCAAAGAAATGTATGCAAATTACAACAGTAGAAAATAATTTCAGATTGAAATTGATAGTATCCGATGTATTCACATACAGTCGATGGAACATGATCTGGTAAACCTTCTAGAAGGAATTTGAGGCATAGATGTCAAAATAAAGATGTGCGTGCCCTTCTCGTAGGAGTTTATTCCAGGGAAATGAGACAAATGCAGCCACATCTATTAAAAAATAGTCATTTGTGTAGTTTGTAATTAGTGAAAAACTGGAAAATGCTAACTGCTCATTATAAAGAAAAAGTTAAATGAAGTTTGGAGGCTCAAACTACACGTATAATATAAGCTCATTTGCTAAAAAACCCAAACAGCTGTACACGTAAACAGAAGAAGCAGAAAGCCAGAAAGCACACGTAATATGGTGGCGGCAGGCAGTGGGCTAGAAGAGGGGGAGCTCACGCACATCACCTCCACACAATGTCATGAGTGAGTCTGCTTGTTCCTCTGTTTCTGATCACAGCAGCCCAGGTCATTTTGTGAAAAGCATGTTTACCACGATTACTATAAGTTACCATAAATATTTTCCGCTTTATCCATTAATTTGTTAACTTACCCTAAATCATTGTCTTTCATTACATTTTTAGTCTGAAAATCTCAGAATATATATATGTGTGTATATGTGTACATATATATATATATATATATATATATAAGCTTATATATATGTGTGTGTGTATATATACACATATACATATATATATGTATATATGTATTTATTTATTTATTTTGAGAGAGGGGGCATGCAGGTGTGCATGTGAGAGAGTAGGGGAAGGGCAGAGAGGGAGAGAGAGAACCCTAAGCAGGCTCTGTGCCACCAGGGCAGAGCCAGATATGGGGCTCAAACTCACAAACCGTGAGATCATGACCTGAGCCGAAACTAGGATGCTTAACCAAATGAGCCATCCAAGTGCCCCCTCACGGAATATATTTTGTATTTTTTACTTATTTCATTTATTTTTTATTTTTTTTTAAGTTTTTTTATTTTTTTTATTTTTATTTTTATTTTTTTTCAATATATGAAATTTATTGTGAAATTGGTTTCCATACAACACCCAGTGCTCATCCCCAAAGGTGCCCTCCTCAATACCCATCACCCACCCTCCCCTCCCTCCCACCCCCCATCAACCCTCAGTTTGTTCTCAGTTTTTAAGAGTCTCTTATGCTTTGGCTCTCTCCCACTCTAACCTCTTTTTTTTTTTCCTTCCCCTCCCCCATGGGGAATATATTTTTTAACGTTTTTCTATTAATAAATCACTTTGCTATTTTCATATTATATCTGATATGCATCTTTTGAAAATATACTATTGCGTCTTTAAAAAAAATACTATATAAATTCTTATGCATATAAAACGCAATACCTTAAATATTTCAAAATAAACCAAAATAAAAATTCCTACATTGTCTCCGATGTAAATTTTAAAAAAGGGAAATAGCCTTTGGTCAGACCTTTACTTGGTTGTGCCGAAAAGAAACCAATTTGTCAATATCCCCCGCAACTTTAAGAAAAACAGTAGGAAGAGATAGGTAAGAGGCCATCCAGGAACTGACTAGGTTTAACGGCTCTAATGAAATGAACTCACCAAAATGACGCCCAGGCTCCAGAGGTCACAGGACTCATCGTAGCCATTATGGTTCAAGAGCTCCGGGGCGGCATAGTGCAGGGTGAAGCAGGGTGTCTTGAGAGGCTGGTTATCAGGCGGCTTTAAGCGCGCAAACCCAAAATCGATTACTTTAATTTCCAAATTGTCGTTTTCGTCAGTGAACAATAAATTCTGCAAGATACAAACATGTAAATTAGTCTCCCGTGACAATGTCCTGGGACTTGGTGACACCATGTACATAACATTGTCTATCTCTATGCTGATACGGGATTCAGACACGGAGAGAGGTCTGATGGAGAGGGTCGGGGAGCTGGACGACACTGTACTGTCCTTCTCTGGCTTATGCTTGTTTATATTATTTCAATTTTACAGTGTCTTATGAAACATTTTTCGATTGCACCACGCCTCTTCCTGTGTCAGAGCCTTTGTCTACATTTTTCGGATGGCGTTTGTCCTCTACCCCCTCCACCAACCTCGGTACCGACCAGGCCCACGTGCCCCTACTGCTTGCTTAGAGATACCGCCCTCACCCCCCCACCCCCCCAAACGTGCCACCGCACTGAAGTTAGGACTTTTCTATTTTCTCCTAGCATATTTGCTTTTCCTTTCTGGCACTTAGCATCTCGGCATTATTAGTCCACTGTCTTCTTCCTCATGAGTCCATAATTCCCTAAGGGCGGGGACTATGTGTCCACCTTATTTATGACTCTATTCCCCAAACCTGCTGCACTCATATAGTAGGTGCTTTGGTAAATATCTGCCCACTGAATAAAGTCATAAATAAAATAGCTGTATCCAGTATAGCTTATTAAAGAAGACACGGTAGGCTGGCTTCCAACTGGCTGGCTCAGTTGGAAGAGTGTGTGACTCTTGACCTTGGGGTCGTGAGTCCAAGCCCCACACTGCATGTAGAGATTGCTTAAATAAATTAAAAAAAAAAAAAAAAAAAAACCTTTAAGAAATAAAAACAAATTAAAGAAGACATGGTAAAGACATACATTACATTTCAGAATATTTTCTCCAAAACAGCTAAGACTTAAACATTTTTTGGATGCTTATGGATATTATTCCTCAATTATGCACACAACATTGTTCTCTTGAATCCCTCATCTGCCAAGTCTTCTCAGTCACTAAGCTTTTACTGTACTGTTTTCGTGTTTATCACATGTTTAATAAATGCTAACTGTACTGAGGCACGATCATCACTTTTATTAGTCTATCAAGCTAGTAGCCACAGTAAGCGAATCTGATTATACTGTCTTCAGACACGCTGACGAAACCTGTTATGTCTTTATGTTCATTAAATTATTCCTCAGATCTGGAACATCATTTTTTTTTCGTTAATATTATTCCCGCTAAAATAAAAGACATCACAGAAGGCTTCATTCATACAAAGAAGAAAACATCTTCTACACCTTCCACCCAAAAGTTAAAAATGGATAAAGTGGGGGGAAAGAAAAGAAAAACGATTAAAAAGTTTTCTTAAATTTTCTACCCTAGGATGCTTGATCCTGAACGTGTGATGGAATTAAAATGTGGATAAAATGTGGATAAAAACTGAAGCCCAGCTGGGGTTCACACGCCATAGCTCCGGGCAAGTCTTTCAGCGAATGACTTGTGAGCTCCTCTGCAGCGCAAGCACTGTGATCTGTACAGAGGACCGTGGGGCACACCTGGCCCCCGTCCGCACGGAGCCTGCCAAGTCTTGGGAGGTGGTTTCCGTTTATTCTCTGCGAGGACTTCCTTAACCGCAGTTCTTGAAATGAAGGAGAGGGGGCGCTCCCCCTCTCGGCTCTCCCGATGGGGCTGGGTGCGCATGGGCGGGAGTGGCAGGAAGCAGCCGCCTTTCAGCCTCCTCTCAAGCTCCACCCTGAAACTCATCTGATGTCACTGGTCTCTCATCTCTCAGGATGGGGACCGGTTTGAAAAGCACAAAGCAGTCCACTAAGAATGTCAGCTAGCTTCTAAGTTTATCTGCCTCTCACCTAGAATTTAGGAGTTTGCCCATGCCGAAAGCAAATGCCACATTAATATTGACCAAAAGATACACCATCAGGTCTTAAAATACGACATCAGTGGGAAAGGGATTACACTTTGGGCCCGGGAGTAACATACTCTGCCATTTAAAAGTCAAAGTGAAGGTCATTTTATTACGAAGATGTTAGTACGAAGGCACATTTTCATTTCTCCAGAATCTATGTTGATTTAGGACTATAAATGTAGTAGAATGTCCTAACTCATCTGACATGTCTTCATTTCAAACGGCTACTTGAAAGAAAAGGTTGGTAACAAGAAGAACGAAGCTACAAGTATCTTTGTATCAGTAAGATGGGAAGGCAAATTTAAATTCTGTTGGAAAGGACAGTTGCATCATTTGAGACTCATGGGATGACAGATGGCCGGTTATCAAAGAATAAAACATGTGAAAATGAATTCTATACAGTCATGGAACAGATCTCTTCAATTAAAAAAATTACATGCTTGTTCCTTGTCTATCAAGAAAACATTTAAGTGGTGTGCTTTTGCATTTAAAAATAGATTGCTAATCTCCAATGTACAGAGCACCATACTGTCAGTGGGCGTTCTGTAGGAGAGTGAGAACTCGGAGGAAGGAAGCAGAGGGAGAGCTACCACAGTTGCAAGTTCATGAAACACAGTTCACTTTTGATTAATTACTAGTAATATGGATAACAGTAATAGGAAGTCCAGGGACAGAAGTTTATGTGCTTTAGAATCAGTTGATTACACTTGGATGCACAGAATTCCATTTTTAAAACACCCTCTTCCTACCAATGATCCAAGATACTTAAAAAGGCAAAAAACAAAAACAAAAACAAAAAAAAAAACGGTGCTTTTGGAGACAGTCTTTTGTGGTCTAACACAAAAAACAGACTCCAAATAAATTATTATTTTAAGAATATTTGAAAATGCTTTATCAACATGTGGTAATTACAAATGAATCTATTTTAAAGAGGAAATATGTATAATTTTGCATATGGTAAAGGATGAGTCACTGTTGTCCTTTTATAAATCACTGGGTTTTGTTTTTCAATTTTCATTATTATTTTGATGACTTCCTAAAAGGGGGGGATTTTCATATTTTTGATACTACAAAGGGACATTCTAGAGTTAGAACCTTCTTTACTAACCTTTTGACAGAAGAAATATATAAGAAGCTGCTACTTTTGCATGGCTACACAATTCTATAAAGACAGTACATGAGCAAAGACATATAAGGATGGTATGGCTAATTAAATCAAGACAATTCTTTATGTTTAAGTACTTAGAACAGAATTCTATACATTCCTATTCATGAGCTAATCAATTTGATTACAAAAATGAGAAACAAGCTTTCAAAATACATCATTAAAAAAATAAACCTCTAAAATGGTACACATATAGGAGGGATATTATTTTCTGCTACAAAAATTTCCATAGCTATTTTTAGCCCACAACTGTTGCATAAAGTATTTCTTCCATAAAAGGCTCTCACACTTACAAATATAACCTCAAGATGATCTGCTGGCAAAAAAAAAAAAAAAAAAAAAAAAAAAAAAGACAAATTTATTTTAGACTAAAATAGAAAAGAGAAAAAAAAAAAATCCCAGAAACAGGATATCTGCAAGTATCTATTTAGCAGGAAGCCCTAAAAACAAAACAAGAAAAGCCCACACATACTCGGGGGGATATTCAGTAATGAGGCGAGGCTGAGTTACACGAGAGAGCACGTCACTTTATACCTCGGGTTTCAGGTCTCTGTGCACCACGCCGACATCATGCATGTGGCTTACAGCTGAAACGAGCTTCCGCATGATGTAGCTGGCTTCAGTCTCACTGAAGTGCTTCTTTTTCTTAATACGTTCAAACAGCTCTCCCCCGTTCAGAAGTTCCATCACCAGAAATGTGTGAAGCTAGAGAAGAAAAAAGATTAATGTGGAGGGCTTTCATGAAGAGAAGTGTATTTATGTATGAAACATTCCTTGACTATTAACTATCGCCAATACATTTAGAGAATCCCTTGGTAAAATAATCAACAGCAGTCCGTAATATTTTAGAGGAAAGAATCGAAGGGTAATGTGGCTTTTTTAGAATTCTATTTTGGTAATGGAAAATTTCAAGTACTGCAGTGAAATCTTTATATATCCTTTCCTTGACTAATTCTTTCATTTGAATGCCATTCCAACCCTCTTGATCAAGTTTACATAGCTTTCTTTTCAAAGTGTGACCTGGTGCTGACAATAATGTGAAATCGTCTGCTTTAAATAATATAGAAGATTAATGACAGAGAATGGGCAACTGTTCTGACACGGGAGGCCTGACACACCCAATGAATAGCAAATTTATCTTTTCAAAAAGGTGTTTCATGATGCCACTTTGAACCTCCTGTCAGACCTCAACAGATTAGTTTCAGGGTTCCTTGTTAATACCCATGGCAAATACCCATAACTCACTGCCTTTTTTTTTTTTTTTAAATAATTGCTTTGGATACCAATGGCATTATCTTAAAGAGTTTAAAAAGTTATTTATTTACTATGCTTTGCACACATGTCCATAAAGAAAATAACTCAGGAGCAACTGAAAAGCAAAGGAACTCTATCAGCTCTCAAATGAACACAAACATGTTGTTTAAAGAAAGATAGCCAATCACCAGATTCAGGTGCTATGCATTACAGAACCAACATCACTTGACAAATATGTTTCTTTTCGAATTAGCAAAATCCTCCCCGAAAGAAAAAGCTTCATAATTATCCTGTACAAACTGGGCGAATTTTAAAAGGAGAACATTTTTAATAAGAGAATTGCTTCCAGCCTACCAGAGATCAAGCTAATTTGAGTTTCTACGTATGACAAACCAGGTCAACACTGAAGGTCTGTTACAAACATCTGCCAGTGACTAACAAACAATGGAATGGTTTAAAAGATGGGCTTTAGGGGTGCCCGGGTGGCTCAGTCGGTTAAGTGTCCAACTCTCGATTTGGGCTTAGGTCATGAGCTCATGGTTCGTGGGTTTCAGCCCCGCATTTGGCTCCGCACTGATGGTGTGGAGCCTGCTTGGGATTCTGTCTCCCTCTTTCTCTGCCCCTCCCCTGCTATCTCTCTCTCTCAAAATAAATGAATAAACATTAAAACATTTTTTTAAAGATAGGTTTTAGAACCAACCCTGGATCTGAATGCTGCTTCTGCTACTTACTTATGACCTTGGGGATGCTACTTAACCTCTATAACTTTAGGACCCTTGCCAATAAAATGTAGATAACAGTGAGAAAATGTTTATGAGACAGTTGACTAACGGCCTTCCAGAGATGTCCGTGTCCTAATCCCCAGAACCTGTGGATGTTACCTGATATGGCAAAGGGATTTTGTGGACGTGATTAAGGATCTTGAGCTGGGAGGACTGTCTAAATTATCCATCAGAGCCAACAGTATGGGATGGGACTATGGAAACAAGAGATTGGAGAGATATACAGAAGGGTCACGAGCCAAGGAAGGTGGACAGTCTCCAGAAGCTAAAAAAGGCCAGCAAATGGATTGTCCCTTGGAGCCTCCAGAAGGCACCAGCCCTGCCAACACCCAGACGTTATACCAGTGAGACTGATTTTGACCTTCTGATCTCCAGACTGCGAGATTATAAATTGGTAGTGTGTAGGTATGTGGTAATTTGTTACAGCAGCTATAGGAAACGAATACAAATCATCGCACATGAAGTGAACTATATGCTGCACACCCAGAGGCTGAAGACCCACCCTAATCAATTTCACCCCTCCGTGGAAGAGAAGACTGTGTGTACTTGGGGATGATCTAGGCCACTGTGTCACCAACATGGAAAGAAATCACCCCAGGTATCAACAACTGGGCAGCAGAATGATTATATATTTGTACTAGTAGATACAAGGTCACATCGTGAGACAACTCACATTCAGTAACTCTTTAATATAAAAATAGCAAACAATAAATTTAACCTGTGGCATAAGTAACAAGGGAGGGATGCAGTTCCTGAGATCTGACATCCGCCAGAACATAAGAGCTGGGATGGAGCTGGGCCCAAGTGCAAACACCAGAGGGGGGTGTCGAAGGTCATCCACCAGTCCCTTGACTTGTTATGTGAATCATCTTCAGAGGAGACTGTCCGGGCTCCTTTTAGGCACCTCCAGTGGATGGGGGACTCACTACCTCCACTGCAGTCAGGTGGCCCCATGAGGTGGCCGCAGTAGGAGCACGGAGAGCAGCTCCTCCAAGTCCTCCTCTCAAAGACCTGCCTTTTCTGACTACGAGAGCCAAAGAGAAAGGAGATGACGATGTTATTTTTGGGTGCTCGCTCACCTGCTGGGAGAACCGGGCCATGTTGCTGCCTCCTCTAAGGCAGCAGAGCAGAGTAATTAAAAGCTTGTTCTGCAGTCGGACTGCTTGGGTTCAGGGCCCGGCGTTACCACTTACAAGCTGTGAGATCCTGTTACTTAACTTCTCAGAGTTTCAGTTTTCCCACCTGGTGGAGTTACCTTATATAAGGACTGAATCGTGCATGTGGAGTCTGGGACGGTACCTGGACCATGTAAGGTATGCAATACTAAAGGGCGGCAGTCACTGTGGCTAAGCTGTATCATTCCAGTGCTCTGGGAACTTTCAGTGTGGTGGAGAACTGGGCCTCGGCCTACCCAGGACATGCTGTTACAGCAGCACAGTGGAGATGGCCCAGATTTTCCCGACTAGATGCTTATGGCCCTGCTGTGTGACCATGGACAGGGCTCGCGACCCTTCTGAGTCTGCTTCTTCTTTGATAAAGCTAGGGTCAGCTGCATCCAGGACTGGTATCGGCTTTTGTGCTTAGCATGCTGTCTCAAGTAGGACTGTGTCTTCCCCCCCAGTCTCAGGGGGAAAGGTGTCAACAATGGAGCAACTATTGTCATGGAGGTTGGCGGTGGAGGGGCTGAGGAGACACGGACTTGACACATTCCTCCCACATCCAGAGGTACATGCTTCTGCGCGGGGTCCTGTTGCAAAGCAGGACCTGGCCTGTGGTCTGAGTGAACGTGCCATCTGGAGAGGAAAGGGGGTACCCTTGCCCTTCTGCTTCATCTTTGTTCTGGAGCTTGCATTAACTAGGCTTAAACTCTAAATCCTATTCTAGAAGTGAAAAGAAAGTCGAAGGCTGATCGTTAACTGACTACTGAGAAGTCCAGGGATTAAGCTGCGGCAGGCCGAAGCTGAGCCGGTGGGAGGCCCAGCAGCTGTGACCCACCCTGCCCTCTGCCCTTCGTCCATGTCACATATGCCCATGACTGAGTGAGAAGAGCAGAAGTGAAAGCGTGCACTGGTTTTGGGGGTGGGTAAGAAGTTTCTCTGCCCTCTCTGGTGGCCGGGTCGTATCCCATTATCTCTGACTCTGACCCCGGCAGTTGCAACTCAACTGGAAAAAAGAACTCTGTGTGAGTCAGTAGGGACAGAAAAGTAGTGTGAGATACCTGGTCGTGGAAAACTTCATGCAGCTTCACGATATTGGGGTGTCCTTCACAGAGTTTCAGGGCTGTTATTTCTTTCTGAGTATTGGCCTCCATCCTGCAGGGATGAAAGTGATTAGCCTCCACGTACGTACCTTCTTCACCAAGTTTTCATGTCCATATTATCCCAGCCCTAGTTTTGTGTTTATTTACAGCGTGTTCAGAATGTAAGTGTTCAAGTATCACAATGAGGTTTCCATGACAGTAATGAATCATACCACCCACCAGAACAAGTAATGCATTATTCCTGAGAAAATGATTACTTCTGAGTCAGAAAAGAGCCCATCATGAAGAAATGGGTGCCTCACTTGCCTGACATTTTGGTAGTAAGAATACACAATCATGGAAGTAATAATGAGTTCCCAAAACAACTAGCTGGCTCCCAAAAGCTGCCAGCAAATTGCTAAGTAATTTCAGAAAAAAAAAATTCAGATACACAACTATTAGGAGTGGCAACAGCTGTCGAAATGAATGGGGCAAGTCTGATTATCACTGCCACGGAAAATGTTCTCACGGTAGACTCGAAAGCCTGTCACGCCATGATTTACGTCCCAAATGGATTACTTTACCAGCAAACATCTATTAGAGTCAGAGGATAATGGATCAGCTAATGAGCTGAATGGCTACACCCAAGGTTAAAAAGCTTTACAAGAAACCACTGATTTCAAAATAAAAATCCTAATTTACAGAATTCCTTGACCAGGATGAGTCCATACAAAAGAATGCCAAAGGATGCCAGAAATGGTCCCTACCTTTTGCTGATTATTTTGACTGCGAACGCTTGGTTACTTTTTTTGTGTATGCACTTTCGACATATTGAGAAACTTCCCTCTCCCAGCGGCTTGTCCTTCAGGTCTAGGTCATAGTGTTGATAGAATGGGGAGTCCTGATAAGAAACCAATATCATTTACCTTAAGAGAATACTAGGAACTGAGGCTCCTGGGTGGCTCAGTTGGTTGGGCATCTGACTCTAGATATCGGCTCAGGTCATGGTTTCACGGTCTGGGAGTTCGAGCTCTGCACTGGGCTCTGTACGGACAGCATGGAGCCTGCTTAGGATTCTCTCTCTCTCTGTCTCTCTCTCTCTCTCTCTCTCTCTCTCCCTCCCTCCCTCTCTCTCTGCCCCTCCCCGACTGTGTGCTCTCTCTCTCAAAATAAATAAAAAGAAACTTAAAAAAAAAAAAAAAGAAAATACTAGGAACACAGAGGGATAAATAACAGAGTAAAAGAACATTATTATTTCTTTTAATATTTATTTTTGTGTGTAAGAGACAGAGAGAGAGGGCATGAGCAGGGGAGGTGCAGACAGGGAGGGGGACAGAGGATCTGAAGTGGGCTCTGTGCTGACAGAAGCGAGCCCAACACAGGGCTCGGGCGCAAGAACCACGAGATCATGACCTGAGTGGAGTCGGATGTTCCAGCGACTGAGCCACCCAGGCACCCCTAAAGAACATTATTAATGTTAATAGATATGCATGGAATATATTTATATGCTTCCAAGATTCAGCTTGCTTTAGATCATTTCTACTTTCATCTGTATAATTTTTTAAGATATATAATTTGCTATCACTGTAAAAAGGAGTTCATTGAAATGGATGTGACTAATTCTCTAGGGCAAACATTGCTATTTCCATTTATTCATTTCTTAAAATTGCACCTTACTCAAATGGTAAGCCTATTAAATTCATTGGCCTTGACAATGTTAATTAGCATTGGTATTTAAATCATAACTGTATCATTTAATTAAGCACATGTATACCTTCATCATTGCGCTCCTGGCGACACTCGTCACTCCAGGGCGATCAACTCCTGTGTGGAACTGAAGAGGATCTACGACGGCCGCGTTCCGCTTGAACAGGATGGAAGGAGCGACGAAGGAATAGCCCTAAGAAAGAAAAGGAAGAGTAAGGAACAAGGGTTTGCAATTTTCCAGTTTAGCACAGTCCAGATTGTAATAATGTTTTTCACTCTCTGTGAAAAACATTCAAGTATGTGTGGAGATGAATCTAATTTTATTTTATTTGCAATCTAAAATGCAAATCAATGGAGATTTCAAATCAATGGAGACAAACTTTTCTGAAGGAGATAATGCCATCTTCTGGTAGAATTAAACCAATTCAGAATTAAAGGCAGAAAAACCTTCTGTCCAATTCCACCCCCAATATCTGACTCAGAGATGGAGTTGTTTCGCATTGCTGATGAAAGTTCACTTAGGAACGCAACTAGCTTCTCAAAAAAGGTACAGTTAAGGTATTAAACAAAGTGGCCCAAGAGTTATCATTTTTCAAGCTCAAAAAATAGCAAGTTTCACTACAGCGAGTTTCTAATTTAGCAATTATTTGACTCTGATTAGATTTCCTTAGACTAAAAATTTCAAATGGAGTTTTGGAAAAGAAATAAAAATCAAATGGCAGAACGACGTGCCAGAATGAACCAAAAGTGGTATAATGACAGATGATAAATCTGCTCAAGCTAGAACACTCACTAGTTCAAAGAACATTTTTGAAACATCTACTATGTGCTCAGCCACGTGCTAGACATTAGTGTTATTAAGGTCCGGAGACACAGCCCAGGTGACCAGATGAAGCCATACTTATGGCATACTTATGGGGGTCCAGAAGTGAATCTCTGATAGCATTTAATAGTCTTTAATGGTTTTAATAGCTTTCTGATACCATTTAATAGTATAAGTCTGAGAAAGACCTTTTTCTCAGTATAAAATCTTCCCTAATTCTTTTTTAGGAGTTGGAAAACAGTTAAGATTTCTCACTGAAGATAAAGAATCAGATAACACTTTTTATGAACTGAAGACAATTTTATATGCTAGAGGTAAAATGAAGTAGTCTTGTATTTTTCTATAAAAGAAACTGAAGAGAAATAAAATTTCAAGTAAAAAAATCAACACTTCTTTACATAAAGAACTTGGAAATGCAAGCTGGTGCAGCCACTCTGAAAAACAGGATGGAGGTTCCTCAAAAAACTAAAATAGAACTACCCTACGACCCAGCAATTGCACCACTAGGTATTTATCCAAAGGATACAGCTGTGCTATTTCAAAGGGGCACATGCACCCCAATATCTATAGCAGCACTATCGACAATAGCCGAAGTATGGCAAGAGCCCAAATGTCCATTGATGGATGAATGGATAAAGAAGATGTGGTGGATATAGATATAGATATAGATATATAGACATAGATACAATGGAGTATCACTCGGCAATCAAAAAGAATGAAATCTTGCCATTTGCAACTACGTGGATGGAACTGGAGGGTATTATGCTAAGTGAAATTAGTCAGAGAAAGACAAAAATCATATGACTTCACTCATATGAGGACTTTAAGAGACAAAACAGATGAACATAAGGGAAGGGAAACAAAAATAATATCAAAAGAGGGAGGGGGACAAAACAGAAGCAACTCATAAATATGGAGAACAAACTGAGGGTTACGGGAGGGGTTGTGGGAGGGGGATGGGCTAAATGGGTAAGGGGCACTAAGGAATCTACTCCTGAAATCAGTGTTGCACTAGATGCTAACTAATTTGGATGTAAATTTAAAAAAATAAAAAATAAAATGAAAAAAAAAAAAAAGAACAACACGTAAGTAATATCTACTATGTCACAGACCATAAGCCTCAGTTAATAATTTGCAACATCTCCATATTTAATCATTTTGAAGAGATTAGAGAATCTTGCTTTTAAAGACGCCAAGAACACTTATATGGGAAAATTAATCTTTTCTTTCACAGCACAGCCGGCCGCCGCACAGGAGCGCCCTCTCTTGGAGATTACCTGAAACAGCCTCTCGGAGCTCTGGGGCAGCGCAGCCGGGGAGTACGTGGGATCCATCTCTGTGAACTCTTCTGCAAAGTTACTCACATCTAACTCATCTCGGATGACCGGCTTAAATGGGGCGGGCACTTTTTTGGCAGCTAGATCGTCCCAATTTATTTTCTGGAACAGAAAAAGAAAATGGGTACAAAGTAGAGACCAGCAGAGTGGAAATATTTTCTGAGACTAACACAGATGGATTAGGGTTTTAATTAGTCAACAGGGAAAGGGCACATCTTTCAAACCAATGATTATAAATACGTTTTTTTCCCAAGCAGGAGCACATTTTCTGACTGCAGTTTATTGCTGCATTCAATGCTATGCCTGAATGAGGAGACTGCCTTCCGTCACTGTGGGGTCTGGCCGTATCCTCCGGGGGGCACCAGGATATCCTAATTCACCCATAGGGAAAACAGAAAAATTACTTTTGTCCTGAAGGTGTGAGGCTAGAACAAAATAAAACTGAATGATGACAGAGGGCTTTTCAATGCTCTATGAATATGAATGCTGACTCTAATATTCCTATTTTCTAGAGACAAAGTTAGGTAGCTTTCTTCCTAGACCTGCTCTTACTCCTGGCCATCTGGACAGACTAGAAAATAAACTCACTATAAATCATGCACTTGTTTACGTCTGTAAGTTTAAATGATCCTATCATACTGATATAATCACCCTTTTCTCATTTAAGTCTGTATCCTAGCTTTTTAAATACTGCTTCTTGTCTCCCCCATGGGATAATCCGAGCCCCCTCTCCCCCCATGCCAGGCAATTGTTGTCTGATAAATATAGCCAACTCTGTGCTCTATTTTCTTTGTGCTCCTTCTGTCACTTAAAACAACCTCAGATAATACTTATTGAATCAAATCCACAGCTATTCTATTAACATATTTCTTCAAATCTAAGATGTCCTCATTCATAGTGAGATATGCCATGATTTCATGTACCATGAAGAAAGAAAAGGCATTATGAAGTAGAATGGTTAAGCTGTCCATTGTAAGACGCATTCTGATTTCAGAGACAGTGGATGACGTTCAGGAAGTTTAATCAACTAACGAAAAAATGTTTTTATTATGCCCTCTTGTGGAGGCAATGGAGAAAAAAAATCATTAGATTACAGATCTTCAAGTTTTTCAGCCAGCGTGGGCTTTAGAGACCAATTAGCTCATCTCCTTTAGACCCAGATGGAAACTGAAGCCTGAAAGTAAGAACTAACCTTCTCACTTAAACATTAGCTCATGGAAGGGTCAGTCTCTTGATTTTCTCGTTAGCGCTCTGTCCTCCATGTGGCTGTAATGTTTTCCATTACAAGCATATGATTTGTGCTTGGCTATTTATACACACATTAAGAGAAACTTCTAGAGGAAAGGGGTAATTTAAAGAAATATATTGTTAGCAGGAGAATGTTTAGTATGTAGAAAATTGATCGCTGTTACGTTCCTCTCCACGTCCTCTCCATTTAGGTCTTTACAAGTTGGATTCTGGTCTTTCCTAAAGAGTCCTTGTCATTTAAAAAGCAAAGCCACTATAGAACCTAAAATTACTATTTCAAGCTATAGAAAAATTTCCGTAATATGAAAGACATACTGTAATATTCACAAATATAGTGAACTGTAGTGAAAAAGATCCTAGGAAAATATGATGGGGGTATTTTGCTTGAGCACTTTCTTGAATTTTACATTGTTAAATTTTCAGCCACATTTCTCAACAAGGTATTTGAAATAGTTTGTTCAACTACTAATCTTTGTAAGCCATGCTAATTTATGAAATGTACACATTGAGAAGTTAATTTTATTCTAAATGTATTTGTTACTGAACTTCTGTAAGATGTGTGGTAACATATTTTTAAACGGGTTACAGCTGAGAGACTGGTGCTCTTTTTTTGAGTATAGAAATACAGAGAGGGGGGCTCAGTTGGTGTTAAGCGTCCAACTCTAGATTTTGACTCAGGTCATGATCCCAGGGTTGTGGAATCAAACCCCCTGTCACACCCTATGCTTAGCATGGAACCTCTGGAATTTTCTCTCTCTCTCTCTCTCTCTCTGCCCCTCCCCGCCACTCGTGCTCTGTCTCTCTCTCTCTCTAAAACAAAATTTAAAAATACGTCACACACAAAAAAGATAAGAAATACAGAGAAGTAATTCTTATTCTCAACCATTACTTGTTTTTCTAGATTTAAAAAACAATAGACAACACAGAGGTTACTCTAGGGCAGTTTTCCTTTGTTATGTTAGGCGTTTTCATATACTCTGGTGATAATACTGTAAAAGCTCAGTTTGCAGAATAAAAATAAAACCCGGATGGTCCCTTTAGACCATAAATATTTAAGTCATGCTTACTGAGGTGATGAAATTTTTTAAAAGTCCTAAGTTCAGGGTTTTAAAAACTGAGGTCATGGTATGCTGGGTTGACTACTCAGACTTAAATAGCTAGCCAACTCAGCCAATTCAATTCTTTTTCCCCAGTTATCTAAAATTTTGGAGTTCTTTTGTTCGTTTTACCAAAGTGAGCAAACTAAGTTAAGCAGATGTATTGGTGCTCTGTAGAATGGTCTCATTAGGTTTCTTCAGAATAAGCAATAAGTAAGTAAATAAATAAATAAATAAATCTATGTTACAGATAAGTAACTGAGAAATAGGCACATTTTAAATTTTCTGTGATTGCTCCTGAGAAAAGGAGAAAGGATGAAATCACTGTCTAAAGGGCAAAACACACTGGTGGGAATGGCTCGTGAACTGAGAGAAAAGTAAAAAATAAAAGCTTCTTCAGTCCATATGCCTAAATTTCAAGATCATAAATAGAAACCAATACTCAAAACTCGAACCAATAAGCATATGGAAGACTGAACGCCATTATGGTCCTCCCCACTCTGACTTCATTTAGGCAGAAAAAGACCATTTAGGTGTCTCTAAGTAGAATTCTTTTTTTTTTTTTTTTAATGTTAACTTATTTTGAGAGAGTGAGAGAGAAAGCGGGGGAGGGGCAGAGAGAGAGGGAGACAGAAGCTCCCAAGCAGGCTCTGTGCTGACAGCAGAGAGCCTGATGTGGGTCTCGAATTCACAAATTGTGAGATCACGTCCTGAGTCAAAGTCAGACGCTTAACTGACTGAGCCACCTAGATGCCCCTCCAAGGAGAATTCTGATCCTAGGATTCCTACAGGGTCCCTGCTATCTAAAAAAACAAAGGTACAGTGTATGTGAAGATAGGGAGCAAATGTCTCCACAAGGGGCCATGTTCACTCATTTCATGAAGAATGCCAAGCACCCTGCAAATAGCAGGCCATATAAAACCATCTGTTCAATAAATTTCACCTGAAAAAAGAGATGTTCTTTGATTTCATCCGCATCACGTGGACCACATCCCAATCTTTTCTTGGGATCTTTCATCAAAAGACGCTGAATCAGGTCTTTAGCTAAAGCACTCATTTCTTGAGGATATGGAGGCTCGCTTTTTAATATTCTCCTGTTGACAGATAAAACTTGCTATTAAAACAACCAGAGGATGAAGTTACAGTGACGATATTCTTAGCAAGACAAGTACTGTGTCACACACTTTGAAACTAAACTGTATGTGAAAAGCAGAGCAAGAGAATTTAAAATGAGATGCCATGAAATCAAATTTCCGAAACTAAGCAGAGACAAAAAGCGTTGGATCATTTTTTCAGTGTAAGTTGCTCTTAATGGGGAACCACCACCCCAAATATTTAATTGGGGAAAAAAATGAAGGCTTGGGACAGGTTAGACCTTGACTCGACTCTCTGGTGAAAGATTTCCCAATGGAAACAACTCCTAATAAACTCAGAGAAGTCAATCCAGCACTCAGCTCCAACCATCATACCCTTGTCTCTTCCCCTTCCCTGTGTGCCAGGGAACAGCTGGGCCTGGCGGGAATGGGGAGGGAAGGCAGGCCAACGCAGGTAGGGTCACAGCCACTGGGACATGGCTCCACTCCTAATATCTGAAAATGAGCACCGGACCTGGAGCTTTTCATGGGATGAGATCACCTGCTTCATTACCTCCCACTATAAAACAGGTAAGCCCTATAAGGAACTCAAAGGTAAAGTCTACTGTTTACTATGGAAAGTGAAACATTAAGATAATCAAGTTTCTTGATGAAATATTTGAATTTATGCTAAGATCATGGAAGAAATCAATCCAATCCAAATGTACCTCTGCCTCTGTGAAAGGGCAGATGAATAATGAGAAAGAATAATGAAAGGGACGGATTGAAATTAAGAAGCTTAACACGGTATACACGGAGATAGTTATTCCTTTATTCGGGTTTGTAAAAAGATTCCCTGTTGGGCATTAAAATATTAAGAGCCGTTATGGAACAAAACCAGGTAACACATTTGTAACAGACAGCACAGTGTGGTTAAGCACACGGACTCCGGAGCCGGACCGAATTCAAACCCTGGCTTGCTGCTAACTGGCTGTGCGACTCTGAGAGTTAATGAACGTCTTCACACCACGGTCTCCTTAACCTAAAATGGGTATTATGATGCTTAAGTGAGCGAAGACAGTGCTTAGCGCTGCACCGGGAACATTGCAAGCGCTTGACCTGTGTGCCCCTGGCTCCCTTCGGCTACACCAACCACAGAGAAAACCACAGCCAGTAGCCACTGAGAATCAGTGAAATGACAGTGGAACTGTAAATTTTCACTGGAAATTCTAGCCGTCTTGTTCATTTCAAAGCTAATCCCGCTTCTGGCACTCCATCCTGGGGATGCAAGAAAACCTGGACGGAACAAGGGGAAAAAAAGAAGTACGCTTTTTCTCTTTAGGGTTCTTTAGTGTTCCCCCAGGGCTCGCTGCTCGTCAGGGTTTTCTGCATTGGAGAGAATCCTCTCCTGGGACCAGGCACAGGCGTCTCTGAGAGACACTGGCAGCCCGGTTTCTGAGGGAAAGCTAAGCAGAGACTTTTCCATTTTCCCCACCTTTCGTGTGCTTTTAGCAGGCGGGGACTTTTTGTGTGAAAGGATCAGGCAATAGATACCCTGTTGCTGACATTCACTTTGGCTGAGAAATAAGCACTTTGGCTGACGTCGTCGAAAGGTACTGATTCTGTAGGTCCGTACACCTGAGTCATCGGCATTTGCTGGAAGTCTACTCCGTACAGGCACTTAGGGAAAGCAACGGTCATGCCAACCCTGGCGGTTCATCGAGAGAACAGGGAGCACCCGGAAACAGGGATGGACCCACTGAGATGCCAAGCTGCGAAGAGGGGCGGGAGACTCCACGTACAACTTGGGGCGGAGGTCTGGGCACGCAGACAGCATTGGTGGGCGACCGACGGCTGCAGCAGGTGCCACACGCAAGGAACTGGAGCGTGACATTGGAGTGAGGCAGGGAGCACATCAGGAAGAGATGGAGTGGAAATCTGAAGGGGTTTCTCGGAGCAGTACTGACGAGGGGACGAGAGGGACCACCAGTGGTGGCCCCAAAGCTTCCCTTTTTCCTGGCCGCAGCGGACACGGCCAGAAGCAGCCGGAGGAGGTTGGGCAGGCGATGGTGCGCACGCACCCCAGCTCGCAGGAGTGAAAGCAGGGGCCACGCAGGAGGTAGCAGAGCAGGACCGCTTCTTAGGCTCCTTGTCATCTCGGTAAGCGGAGTGGCACGGGGCTTCCTCAGCGTGTGGAGAGGTTCTGAAGCCTAATCCCGCGGAGAACCGTAGGGCCAGGAAGAGGACCAGAAATGGAAGTGCGCTGGTCAGGAGAAAGAGCCCCCAGCAGGCTTAAATCTCTTCTCCAGGGGAAGATATCTCTTCCTCTTCTGCTTCCTTGAAACGTACGGGGCTGAGATGCATGTGAAATGACAGCTGTGCCTGGTTATCGCGAAGTCACCCCTGAGATGTGTGAGCAGACAGGACTATTTAAAACTCAGAGAACACAAGTTTCTGGGTGTTGTCTCTTACCCCAAGGGTGTCCTTGGAAGGGGGGTGAGCGGTGGAAGCTGTGCACAGAGGAGTAGAACAATGCAGTCCCGTGGTGGCCTTCCCATGTGGGGGTCACCCATCCACCTGTTCTCATCACTAATGGCTGAGTGTGCCCTCTGTGGGCTGGCCAGCCAGGCCTGGTGACTGCAAGGTCCCCTGATGAAGAGGTGCTTGATGCTGTCATGCTGATACCCATGTTTCCTGATCTGTATCTCAGGAAGCTAAGGAAAACTGGTGCCAGATTACAGCCTATTGTGACCTGTGAGTATGAATGTCCGTCTGAAGCTCAGACCAGCGCAGTTACGCAGAATGTGCACTGCAGAAAGGGGGACGTAGGTGGAGGATGCTCATGAACCTTTAGCCGTGACAATACTAGAACATCCTGCAACAAGGGCAGGGAGACATTTCTCAGGTGTTGTTGCCACTTGACCTCTTCGAATGTTCTAGATTTCTGAGTTGGTAATGACCCAGAACTCTTTCTTTTTAGCTCCAAAGGGAATCTGGGAAACTTGAGAAATGAACTGTAATGGGGTGGGGCCCAAACAAATTTTTTTTTTAATTAATTAATCTATTTTTTATACATTAAAAAAAGTTTTTATTTATTTATTTTGAGAGAGACACAGAGAGAGAGAGAGAGAGCAGGGGAGGGGTAAAGAGAGAATCCCAACTAGGGTGCACTGCCAGTGCAGAGCCCTATGCAGGGCTTGAACTCATGAACTGTGAGATCATGACCTGAACTAAAACCAAGAGTCAGATGCTTAACCAACTGAGCCACCCAGGAGCACTGAGCCCAAATAAATCTTAGAGCTCTCTGGAAAATCAGAACAGGCTCTGAGTTGACATATCACATTAAACACTTCTTGTGTTTGTTATCATTTAATCCATACAATAATCCTATCAATAGGCAGCCACTATTATCCCTGTTCTAAAGGTAAGGAAAGATTCCTTTCAAATCAAGACATACACACAAAATTTTAACTTGATATTCCAGAACATAGATGCTCCTAATATTTTTTTGCAAGAAGAAGCAAATAACAGAGCTAAGAAAATTTTGAAAAATAAAATAATTGGAAAAGATCTGCCTAGCCACATGTTAAAATGTATTATGAAACAAGATTGTAAAAGTGAGGTGCTAGCAAAGTAAATCAACAGCCAAATCACATGAACAGAAGAGACAACTTGAAAAACATCCAGGCATATACACAAACTTACATTGTTTTTGAAAAGGGACCAGCCAACATGGGAAATGCCACATTGTTTGACAAATGTGCTGGGGAAACCAGCTATTTGGGAAATAAACGAAGCAA